AAGAAAGCAACCCCCAATGGGCTGTGGTCATATCCTTTTCCCTCCATTTCAACATCCCATCAGGATTTTGGTCACATATATGCATGTTTTTTCAAGTTCCCAGGACTAGGATTTGAACCATGTCAATCATGTGGGATCTGGCTCCATGTGCACAGGGCTTAACTGCTGTGCTACGAGGCTAGTCCAAAATACTTCTTTTCACATGATATTAAATACCCACAAAGGATTCATGCTCTGAGAAACAGACAATCAGAATTGCCTGCCGTAAAACTGCTGGGCCATGCTTGTTTTCCTCATTTCTACCTGGGATGGGTCAGAGTGTACACACTCTGTGCTGTGTGCTCACACGTAGGTGTGTATAAAACAGAGGAGGGGATTGGAATTTTTTTTTTTTTCCTGGAGAGGTTTTTGCTATAGGGCGCGTGTGCTCGCCAGAAAGACAGAGATAGACAGAGAGACAGAAAGTGAGACATCACCCCCCCAGTGGGGATAGCCATGCTGCAATCCCTTCTCCTCCAATCTTCTCTCAGGATCTTGGGCACGCATGCACACGTGCCCGGTGTGAGTTTAAGCCACTGGGTCCAGGACTCGAACCACGGTCGGCTACATGGGAGTCCAGTGACACAGCCATTTATGCCAACTGCTGACCCCGAGGGGATTGAATTTTTAACTGAACCAGTCATATCTGTAAAGAGAAACTTCAAGACAGAAAAAAAGAGAAGCAAAGACCTCCAAATCAGGATACTCCAAATGATTTAGTTAGCATTTGTGGAGTACCAACTATCAAGCACTGTCTCAAGTGTTTTGTAATTACTAAAACAGTCCTCAAAACAACCCCGTGAGGAAAATATACCATCACTCACTTGTTACAGAAAAGGAAAGGTGAGGTTCAGCGAGAGTAAGAGATGCACGCCAGCTAGAAAGTGGAAAAGCCATAACTGGCACTCAGGTTGGTTGGTTCTAGAATCAGTCCTCTTAACCATGATGCCATATTGCACTTTTTTTTTAATATGAAAATTTTTTTAGTTTATGAATCCTCTCATGAACAATCCGCACAATCACCGCTGACATTGCAGAATCTTTACTCCTTCAACTTTTTGCCACTAGCATTGGCCTTTGCAGTCCCCCTGACTTTCTTCATTCTGTTCTTGCGTTCCTTTCACTGTTTTCTTGTCCTCTTTCTCTTCTCATAAAGGCCATGTCTTGCAAGTCTACGCTTGGGTTCATTTTTCTTCGCATAATCCAAAGAATCGTAAATCACATCAAAGCCAGTTGTCTTGTCACCACCCAAATGGGTTCTGAACCCAAACACAAAGATGACACCTGGTGTGGTCTTGTACATCTTCGCTAATTTTTCCTGTATTTCTGTCTTAGATACTGTTGCCTTCCTGGGGTGAAGGACATCAATGACGTTTGTTTCCTCTGAAGTAGTTGGTTGGTCATGAATTTTCTGGTTCAGATACTTACTGGTTCTGAACCCTTGTGAATGGTGGCATATCCTCAAGCAGCCAGGAAGGAAAAGACCATATTGCACTCTTGACTCTCCAAAAGGAGTCGAGCCAAAGAGATCCCCACTAATCCCTAGTGTGAAGACATGTCTACTACTCTTGGTTTTCTGGGAACTCTCACAGAGGAGCCAAAACGTCCAGGGCTCTGCAAATTTAAGTTATGTGACTTTAAGAATGCTACTTTACCTCACTCTGTTCCCCCCCAACCCCCATGCATAAAGTGTTTGAAAAAAGAGGACCAGCAGGTGGTGGAATTAAGGCAGCTGGATCCTATCTTCGGTTTTACCCAGCAACTTGGAAAATCATGCTGGGCGCGTGTGAATGTGTGCTCAAAACCCCAAGAGGAGAAGAAAGAAGGGATTACAGCATGGCCATTCCTTTTTGGGGGGTGATTTTTCTTTCCTCTCTCTGGACAATGCATGCTCCCTATAGCAAAAACAAAAACAAAAACAGAAACATAACAAAAAAAGGACATACTTCATAAGGAAGCTGTGAGTTCTCTCTATATAGTTTCTATTATTTAGTCAAGCTAGTATCACAGTAGCTTCTACTTACTACCTGCTTCTGTCCTCTGTAGTAAGTTAGAAAACTACTGTTATCATTTTCTTTTTTTTTTTTTTTTTTTTTGCTACAGGGCGTGTGCACTCGCCAGACAGACAGAGACAGACAGAGAGACAGAAAGTGAGAAATCACCCCCCAGGGGGGATGGTCACGCCGCAATCCCTTCTCCATTCTCCTCTTGGGATCTTGGGCATGCACGCACACATGCCCGGCGTGAGTTTTAAGCCACCGGGTCCGGGACGCAAACCATGTTCGACTACATGGGAGTCCAGCGACATAGCCATTACGCTAACTGCTGGTCCCACATTATTTTCTTTTTTAAAAATTATATTTATCTCTTCAGAGAGAAAGAGATAAGAGACTGACAGACACCTTCAACAGGGTTTTCATGCTGCAATCTATCCCCAGTGTCAGCCACCTTGAATCATGGGTGTGTGTGCATGCTCAGCAAACTTGAAGAGGTTTTCTGTTTTTGTTTTTAAAAAGAGATTTTTGCTATAGGGTGCATGCACTTGCCAGAGAGAGAGAGACAGAAAGCAAGAAATCATCCCCAGAGGGGATGGCCACGCTGCAATTCCTTCTCTCCCACTCCCCTCTTGGGATTTTGGGCATGCATGCACATGCGCCTGATGTGAGATTCAAGCCACAGGGTCCAGGACTTGAACCACAATTAACTACATGGGAGTCCAGTGATGTAACCATTACGCCATCTGCTTGTCCTGCAAACTTGAAGAGGTTCTGGGATGCAAACCTAGGACCTTTCCATGTGGTCCAGTTGTGTTAACATTTCTCTACTACCTAGGCCCAAGACTTTCATCTTGTATACAGAGGTGTTTCAAATATTAAAAAAAAATAATAAGGTACCTTTCTCCAGGCTAGAGATTCTTCAATGGAGTCCTGCAGACTATGGCTGTCAGTGTTTCCCTTCTGCTCATATATTAAACAGCTCTCTGTGAATGTGTGGCACATTCTGATCTATCTTCCCTAAACATGAAAGCACAAGGAAAGTGTTCTTAGCCCTTAAAAAGCTGAAGTTTATTTAATAAGTGATGAAACTGTCAGTATCACTATAAACTAAAATGTTAAAGCAGAAACTGTTTTTGAAAGTTTATTTCCCTTTTAATATATTTTCCCTCACACGACAAATACGTTAACATTACTGAGTCTTGAAGCAGGCCAGTTACAGGGTCCTGTTAGCAAAAGTGGAATGAATGATTGCTTACTTTTCTTCTCTTCTACATTAATAACTGACTCGGGACCAGCAGATGGCAATAATGGTTATGTCACTGGACTCTTACGTAGTCGACCGTGGTTCTAGTCCTGTAGCCAGCAGCTTAAAACTCACGCTGGGCGTGTGTATGAGTGCCCAGGATCCTGAGAGGAGAATGGAGGGGAAGGGATCGTGGTGTGGCCATCCCCCCAGGAGAGTGTCTCACTCTCTGTCTCTCGGGCAAGCACACGCACCCTGTAGCAAAAACCTCTCTTAAAAAAAAAAAAAAATCTGACTCATTTTTGATGCAAGAAGATACTCTATGGAGGACTTAACCAGATGCCTTCCAAATTCCCTCCTAATCCTGAGATTCTGTGATTTGAGGCTTTTGCGATTTTGTTCTAAGTACGCACATACTGCAGTCCTCTTCGTTCCAATGCAATAAATCCATTATACATTTAGGAGGAATATAATTTGTAACCAGAGAATATATAAGATTATATGTATACACTCATATGTGTGTGTGTTTGTGTGTGTGTATATGTATATTTCATTTTCTATTTCCTTGTAAGGAATTATTTCTTTAGAGGGTGATTAAATTGGTTTTAAAGTGGTTTATCTATTCCTGTTTACTCTCCTACTTGACATGTTAATCCCCTCTCTATCTTGTCAGATAACCCTTTGATTACTTCTATCAGGTATAAAAAAATGGGTCCAGTGATGGGAAAGTAGGGCAGTAACCTCCCATATTCCAGAAAACCATTAAGAATTTTTGACATGGAAGCAGCCCTTTGGCCTTAGCGCAAATAAACAAAAAGGTCCAGCCCAGCCTGTTCATTCCTTTGACAGCATGGACACAATCTGGGACACACAGGGGAAAGAAAAGAGCTTTGTGTGCAGACCTGTGATAAAAACTGATCTTTGTCCACACTCGGACCTCTCACAGAGGTGTTCACACACAGTAGAGTAGTGAGGCATTCTCAGTGGAGACAAAGTAAGACACAGGAGCAAATGCAGTCTAGCTTTTTTTTTTTTTTTTAAATAATCATTTGTTTAATTTTATTTATCATTATTATCATTTTAAAATTTGCTATAGGGCATGTGCACTCACCGGAGACAGCAAGAGAGAGAGAGAGAAAGTAAGTGAGAAAGCCAGTGCCCAGGTCTGGGACTCAAACTGCAGGTCAGCCATGTGGAAGTCCAGCACCTTCACTGTCACACCACCTGCTGGCCCCAGTCTATCTTTACATGGTCACAGACCTGTTCAGTATACTAAAATCTAACAATGGCTCCCATACTTGTCTCTCCACTTTTATGTCACTTTATCAGGTTGTTGGAAAACTCATGGCACACTGTTGCGTAGAAAAACAGAGAAAAATATATCATGATTTTTCCAACAACCCAGATTTGAGAGAGAGAGTCATCATCAAGACTCTTGTCACACCATGATCCTCCCCCAGCCCGAACCTTCCAGCCAGCTACGGTCAAGGGTGTGAGCGCACGTGTCCAGCATATTTTAGGTCCACTCAGGATATGAACCGCAGTCTTCCATGGGGATATGCCATTGCAGAGCAGTCTGTGACTGGCTGGCCTAGGTCTATTTTCAAAGGATTTGGTCACTAGCTAGTCCCAACATTCTTACAAGAAATGCTTCTTGGTATAGAATTTAAAACTATTAATTAGGGAAGAAACGGAAATAATTATGAAGAATTAAGCCTTGGTTATTGGAGTTTAAGTTTACTAGTTCAAACCCTCTAATGTCATGTCCATTATACCACATCTACGAAGATACACAAATCAGATAAGCACAGATACGATGCAGGCAATGTTCCTTCTCCCTCATTGTACATTTAATATTCCTGAAGGTTTTATTAATGCCTTGAAAACACAGAAATGTCTTGAACATACATCAGTTTTTTTCTGGAGGAATAAATATATCCCAAAGCTTATTGTCAGAATCCTGGAAAAAGAGGTATAAATTCTCTCTTCAGTTGTTTTAAAAATTGGTATCTAAATAATTTCATTCTGACCTATGTTAGTAACCTAAGTCATTTGCATTGAGCTTTTACAATGGAAAAAAATTTTAAGTTCCAAATATAACAGACTTAAATAGACATTTAAACAGGACATGGGAATTTATTTTCTATTAGACTTTTCTAGCCAAAAAGAGAAGGATTTTTCCTCATTTTATTTTCTTATGACAAACATTATTATCCTTTTTAAAAAAATGGCCAGATAATAACTGTAATTGAAAAGACGACTTCTATATAAATGGCTTTAATCATAGCCCAGTTAAAAGTAACACTTATTATTGATTCACTTCAATAGATGACGTTATCACCTTTTAAACATCCGTATTTCTCAGATCATTTCTGGCTGGCCTTGACACATTTTTCCCTAACATCATTTCTTCACTGTTTTTCTCTGGAGTTTTCTTAACTTAAAATAATGGCTTAAGGAAGAGTACATGAGATTTAGTAGCTCTGTGTTTATTTTTAAATGTGGAGCCAACTTGGGCAGGTTGATACTGTAATTCATGAAAATGACCTGTGTTTTCAGTGCCTTGGGTTGGCCCACCGCATGCAAGAAGGCCTTGGTTCCTCATGTAGCCGAAAAGTAAACTCCATTCTTCTGCTAGTCCTATACCTGGTTGAAAAGGCCAGGAAATTGATTACACAAATGTCACTGTGTAGAAGAAATCTGCACTTAATGATGTTGCTACAGATAAAGTATTCCTTGAGCAAAAATGCCACTTGCTCAGTGTTTAGGAAGGACATGGAGTTTCATAACCATAGTTGCCTTCTCTGTGGGAAAGATTTTTAAACTTGCTGTGATGACTTCCTGTCAATTTCTTTTTCTTACAGTCAGGCATGCTCTAGAACCTCAGTTTCTTAAGTTCATTTAAAAATCAGAGGGGAAAAAAACCCCAATGGGATAAAAACAAGTACAAAACACACAATTTTGCTATTACACTTTCTCCTGGATAAGTGTAAATATTTCTTGTCATTTTCATTCTGTTTTAACACTGCAGAACGATACACTCGTGGCTCAACGGTGAGGCAATGTGCATGTGAGGGACAAAACATGGAAATGAGAAAAGGAATATAAATCTAAATCAAATTTTAAAAATCCTACGAAGACAACTGCTTCTTATTTATTCTGTTAATGTCCTTTCCACTCAAACTCGCATTTTGGCTCCAAGAGGGCAGGAACCACTATCCCTCTGATAAGAAAGACACTATTTGTGGAGGGTGAAATATGTAGAGCCTGTTGCCAGATTCTGGTAGCCAAACTGCAAAAAGTCTTCTGGAAGACAAATAAAATTATGTTTTCCTTATCTGTGTTCTGGGAACCATGGAAATAGAAAAGGATTAGAAACAAGGCATGCTTTTTGAGGTTTCTTGGGCTGGGCAGTAGAAAAATAGGTGTTTTCCTTTGAGGGCTTTTTGGAGATGAGAATGGTGAGTCTGATACTCTGAAAGTCCCGTTCCATTTTCGTTCAGTCTTTAAGGGAGTGGTAGGCTCTGGCAGTCCGGCTGTTGACAAAATCTGTCTTCTTAAACTGAGCCTTCAAAATAAGCAAATAGAAATGTGAAAGGCAACCATATTTTCATACATGAAAATGAAGTTTTTTAGTGACCCTCACCAAGGTCAAGTCAAGCCAGCCACTACTGTCTGGCTCTGCTGATGACAACAAGGTCCTTGTTAGCGGCCTTACCTTCTTGTAGGCGTTGTGGAGCTCCGTGTGCGCCCACAGGGAATACAGGAGGACAGAAGCAGCTTTACTGGCTTTGCTGGCGGCATAGCTGCAAGGAAAGGACATCTCAGATCAGGAAGAACGCACAAGGTTTCTGGATGCTGCCATCCGAAATCCCATAAATCTCTAACTGCCGGTCCTCCGTGGTCATCCTTCAGAGAAGCCACTCAAGGCGAGACCATTAGTGAGCTTTAGAAGGTGGGAGACATACTTTTTTCCTGCTTTATATATTAGGTCATTGGGAAAGTCATACGTATTCTTCTATGCAAAAATGCATCGTACCTTTCCTGATGACACCCCCTCCCCGACACACACACCTTTTATTTTTGCCAGAAGGCATGCACATTTGCTAGAGAAATACAGAGAGACAGAGAGAGGAAAAATGAGCAAGTATTCCCCCATGAGGAGTTGTTGCCTTTTCCTGCCTTCTTCCCTCTTTTTGGGATTTGGCACATAGATGCACATGTTTCCCCACACACACACCATGTTTCTCAAACCACCAGGTCCATGATTCAAATCGTATGGTCATCCATGTAAGATCCAGCCAACTTAACCACCATGTCATGGGCTGGCCTCTATTTTTTGTTTTAATCTGTTAAAACCACTAGTACTCTGTTAATAAATAGCTTATAGAGCAAATCCTTGGTATTTAAAAGGAATATATCCTTAGTCACATGATGAATCCTTGAATTTATTTACAGAATACAATGTGTTATTTGTGTATTTATGATGTATTTTTATAGGATACAAATGCATGAAAGTATGGTTGAAAATATATATGCCTCTTAAACTTAGTGACTCTAAACATAGGTGTTTGTTAATAAAAAAATTGTGGCAGCACTTGTTAGAATAGGTTCAAAGTCATTTTGTTTTAGTATAGACCAACTGGGAAACTTGTTCCTGTTATATGAGTCACCACTGAATTTAACATTGTTCTTAGTTTTTGATGTTCTGCTTTTAAATTTGTCCTGAACTTTCCATTTCTAAAGATCAATGGCTTCTTAGATCTCTCTCTCTTCTATCACCAGAATAGCACATGGTTGATTTTTTTTTTTACCAGAAAAGCAAAGATCTTTTTTTTAATATCATAGGAGTTTATAAATATGCAACCTAGAATAAAGAATGCAAAGCTGTATGGAAGGGAACACACTGGGTTCACTGATGAGTTCAAAGTCTCCCTCTTCCATACCAGCCTTGCAGGGAGGGTAAGTCCAATTAGCACTCACAGGTTCTGTAGTACCTCATGGACTTTCTTTTTTTTTTTTTTTTCCAATTTATTTATTTGCATTCATTCACTGTACATCATTACAGCATACAAAATGAGATTTTCCATCTAGAGTACACTGTATATTGTCTCAATCAAGCACATCAACAAATATGTTATTCTTAGCAAATGATCTTCCATTTCTTGTTTTCTGTATGTTTTGCTTTTTCCCCCCATCCTTGGTTCCCTATCTCTTACCCTCTGCCACCTCCTGCTCTCCTCCCACACTGTGTCTGGTATCTATGTTTGCTTTCTATACCGTTTCCCCCCCACATTTTATTGAATCACCAAAGACCCTAATCAATCCAAATACCCTCCTAGCAAACACATGTGACACACACATTTCCATGAGCACAAGTCTAACTTTACACATCCTATAAAGTAGCACCTAACTGGAGCTACATATCCTACTGCAGTCATTGAATAGATACATTTTTTTTCCTGAAAAAAAAAAAACCCCTCTTTCTGACCCTCTGTCCCTTCCCACCCTCCTCTCACACCACCTCTAGTGTCCAAAATTGTCCTCCATTCCCTTCCCACCCACATTGCATTGATCACACAATTTCCTACATAACCTGACTACTTTCAAAGGTGAGTTCCCTCGTTACTACTAAGAAAACCAGTTTTAACTTAAATCAAAGAACCGCCAAGGAACTTTGCTTAAAGCCCGGAAACAGGTTAGGATTCTGTTCAAATGGTAGGTGCATGAACCTATCAGTCTCATATACTTTTATCTTCTGTTCTGGTTCAATTTTCCTGATTAAATTCTGGGATATAGTATTCAACTCCAGACTTGTCCCTATGATTAAGTTAGCTACTTTCTCAGTTTTTGGACTCTTATTTCCATGTATCTGCGTTTAGTTTTCCTGATACAGCACATCCTTGAGAACTTCTTGGAGGTCTGGTCTGGTGCTGGTAAATTCTTTCAGGTTTTGTTTATCTGAGAATGTTCTTGTCTTTTCTTCCCACCTGAAAGATAATCTTGCCGGATACAGTATTCTTGGCTGAAACTGCTTCTCTCTTAACACTTGGAATATATTTTCCCATTCTCTCCTCGCTTTTATTGTTTCTGATGAGAGATCTGCTGTTAGCCTGATGGGATGTCCTTTGTAGGTAACTTGATGTTTTTCTCTTGCTAATCTTAGTATCTTGTCTTTGTCTGCAGTTTTGGTCAACCTGGCTATAATGTGTCTTGGAGAAGATCTTCTAGGGTTGATTCTATTTGGGGTCCGTTGTATTTCCTGGGACTGGATCTTTGAATGCCTCTCTAGGTTTGGAAAGTTTTCTTGCAGGATTTCCTGGAATAGATTATCAATGCCCTTATGGGTTTCCTCACCTTCTGGAATGCCAATTATCTGGATATTTGGACGTTTGATGGTATCCAGTACTTCTCGCATATTATTCTCAAATTTTTGTGCCATTTTCTCAGTCTTCATGGTGGATTTTTCTAGGCCAGCCATTTTCTCTTCTACATCTGAGATTCTATTTTCTGAATGATCTAGTCTGCTTTTAATACTTTCCAGGGAGATTTTTACTTCTTGTATTATAGACTTCATCTCTAGCAGTTCCGTTTGAGTCTTTTGTAAAGTGTGTAATTCCTCTTTTAGATCTTGCAGGAATTTCCTCCTCTCTTGGAACTCGTCGATTTCTTTCTCCTTTCTCTTTAGCAGTTCATTATCTCTCTTCTCTTCCATCTCTGTTAGCTTAGACATTATGAATGATCTGAATTCCTTATCAGACATTTCCATGATTTTCACCGAACTACTTGTGGATGAAGAGTTACTCTTTTCCCTAGGAGAGGAGGCATTTTCTTGTTTTCCCATATTTCTCGTGATCCAGCGGTGATTTCTTGTCATCTGATGAATATTGTGTTTCTTTCAAATTCTTGAAGTGCAGCCTTTATGTTCAGGAGGAAGCAGACAGAGGTGATCCAGAATCTCTTTGCTGTTCTATTGTGCTTGCGCTAGCTCATTTGTTGGAGGCTGAATTATTAGTAGAAAATCTTCATTCCCTTAAAAATCTAGTTCACTGTAGCCATGTGGAACCTTGTCCTGAAGGCCCGTGGCTTCTTCTCATGGACTTTCTTAAATCATAAATCATTCTTAAGTCACAAAGGGGTTTATTCATATAAAGTATGTTTGTGAGTTAGTTGTTTGGAACTCATTAATTCAAAGGTATAGTGTTGTAGAAAACAGTGACTCCCAGGATAACCCATATAGTAGCAGTCAGATAACAGCAGTCTAGTAGGCAAAGAGCAACCGCACCATGGCAGAAGATCCTTGTTTACTTTGTTTTCTCTTCCATGAGACACAGAGAGAGAAAGACAGGGATGGGAGAGACTCAGATGGGTATTTTTTTTTGGAGAGGTTTTTGCTATAGGGTGCGTGCACTTGCCAGACAGACAGAGAGAGAAAGAGAGACAGAAAGCGAGAAATCACCCCGCCCAGGGGGGATGGCCATGCCACAGTCCCTTCTCCTCTATTTTCCTCTCGGGATCCTGGGCACACACGCACACGCGCCCAGCGTGAGTTTAAGCCACCGGGTCTGGGATGCAAACTGCAGTTGATTACATGGGAGTCCAGCGACATAGCCATTATGCTAACTGCTGGTCCCCCAGGTGGTTATTTTTGATAGAGTCTCACTGTGCTGTGAACCTCCTGTCCGAGTCTCCCAGTTAGGTAGGAGTATAGGGGAACAGAACCATTGGCCAGGGAGTCGAACCCAGGCTTCCCATGAGCCTTCAGTTTCCCAATCAGTGGCACTGAGCCACTGACCTGACATTTTTTGTGAGGCCAGGCGTGTGAGGACTCACCAATAGAGACTTGGGGCAACAAATAAGTAGCAGAGTAGCGCATTCCCTTAATTTGCTAAGCGACGAGAAGTCTCCATAAGTAATGGCAAATTCCCACGTGCAGCAATCATTATGTCTGAATAATAACATAATTAAAACCACACTGTCCTGTGGTGGTGGGCTTAGACACTTGGAGGGCTAGCTGGAAGAGTAGAGTAGTTTTTGTTTTGAAACAACAATTCATTTTTTTTCTCAACAACACTGAGCAACTGCTATCTGCCAGGCTCTGGAACAATGACTAGTCCCTGCTCTTGGAGAGCACAGGCTCATTTTAATCACTTGTTTTGAATTGTGATCGTCCTTCTTCTTGTGCTTTGTCAGAAAATTGGGCAGAGCTGTGGTGGTGGTGATGCGTGTCATTCCAGCAAATCTCAGGTCCCTATCCTTACCCCTGTTCAGTCAGGCACGCATCTGTCCACAACAGGTAAAGTTCATCTGTTCTGCAACTTATTGGAAGTAGACTATAACAGCATTTCTTTCCTTGTTATTTACAAAAGTAACTTATACTTTTTAAAAAGATTATTAAATTACATTAATTTATTTCTTTATTTAAATTTGACCTGAGAGAGACAGAGAGAAGGGAAGTGAGAAAGCAAGCTGCAGATCTGAAACTCCAAGTGTGGTTGGCCATGTGGAGTCCAGTGCCTTAATCCAACACCACCTGCTGGCCCCAGTAACTTGTATTTGTAACAAGTCAAAAAATCCAGAGTTGCATAAAGAGCAAAAGATAATCTTGATGCCCCTTTCCAATCCCATAATTCTAAATTAACCAGTTCATCAATACCTTGGTTACAGCGGGTTTTTCAATCTCATCCTGACTGTGGGATGCCTTGTACATATTAGAGCTTCTATTTGCAATAGGAAAGGAGAGGTAGAATAGATGTGGCAGAGAAGACTGACAAAGCCAGGATTTCTTGTTCGGTTACATCCCTCTTCCGCTCCTGTGCTCTCTCTGCTTTGGCTAGTGTGGTATCATAGCGGCTCTACAGACTTATGAGGAAAGGGCATCTTCCTGTCTCTAGGAGTCTCACATTGCTTTATTCTGCTGTTCCTTAAGCACAGCAATGGTTCTGGGACAAGAATTCATTAAGTCAATAAAATGTTGGCAGGTATTACAGCATTTGTGGGATCTTGATATTTTAGAAAAGAGTGAATGAGACCAGCAGATGGCCTAATAGTTATGCCGTTGGACTCCCATGTAGTCAACTGCGGTTCAAGTCTTGGACTCAGCGGCTTAGAACTCACGCCAGGGGTGTGTGCATGCGTGCCTAAAATCCTGAGAAGAAAATGTAAGAGAAGGGACTATGGCATGGCCATCCTCTCTGGGGAGTGATTTCTCCCTTTCTGTCTCTCTGTCTCTCCGGCAAGCAAACATTCCCTATAGCAGAACTCTATCCAAAAAAAGGTGAACAACTGTGTGGCTTGGCTGACTTAGTTCTCCATTTATCCGATCACCAAGGACTGGAGAGATGAACTTGATGATCTTGTCTGTGGCCATGTTGCTAAAGTACTCAATGAATGGACATTCACAACCACATTCTTTTTCTTTTCTTTTTTTTTTTTTTGGAGAGATTTTTACTGTAGGGCGCGTGCGCTCGCCAGACAGACAGAGAGAGACATAGAGACAGAAAGCGAGAAATCACCCCCCAGGGAGGATGGTCACGCCGCAATCCCTTCTCCATTCTCCTCTCGGGATCTTGGGCACACATGCACATGCACCCGGCATGAGTTTTAAGCCACCAGGTCTAGGACGCGAACCGCGGTCGACTACGTGGGAGTCCAGCGACATAGCCATTACGCTAACTGCTGGTTCCCCACAACCACATTCTTTACACACAGGAGCGGTGGTGGGGCAAGGGCGGACAGCTGATGGGCAGATACTAAAGGACTTACGTGTCGCCTGCACTGATGGTCATAATTTTCTGCAGGCCCCCGGTATTCAGAAGGTCCCGTGCATTCTGGTAACTATTTTGAATAATATTGTTCAAGGTGTAACAGGCAGAGGCCGTAGTTTCAATGAGAAGGTCAGTTGTTGGGACTGTGTCAGGAATTATGGAAATCAAGTCAGGTAGTGTTTCTTTGGCTACAAAAATGAAAGGAAAAGAATAGTTGATTAAAAAGACTATTTTTTAATCTCAAGATCCTAAAACATTTGGGGGACAGTGCATTTTTAAAAAGAAACACATTTGCTTAACAGGCATATGGAAAGATGTAACTGCTCTAACAATTAACATTTTAAAAGATTTCTCTGTGCTCACTATGTTGAAAATCTTTTCAGAGAGCAATTTGACAGAAATATCAAGAATTAAAAACCTTTCTATATTCTTTAATACAATAATTTTACTTCTGAGAATACATCTTTTAAACCAAGAAAGCTTTCTGAAAAGATCTTTATTATTATTATTTTTAATTTTATTATTTTTTGGGGGAGAGGCTTTTGCTATAGGGTGGGTGCATGCGCTCCCCAGACAGACAGAGAGAGACAGAGAGACAGAAAGCAAGAAATCACCCCCCAGGGGGGATGGCTACGCCGCAATCCCTTTTCCTCCATTCTCCTCCCGGGATCTTGGGCATGCACACACACGGGTCCGGGACATGAAGTGCAGTTGACTGTGGGAGTCCAGCGACATAGCCATTATGCTAACTGCTGGCCCCCCTTATTATTATTTTTTTATTAAGGTTTTTTACCATAGGACACATGCACTTGCAGGAGAGAGACACAGGCGAGAGACAGTGAGCGGGAAAGTGAGAAACCACTCCCACTCCCCCAGGAGGATGGCCATGTTTATTGTAATCCCTTCTCCTCTATACTCCTCCCCAGACTTCGGGCATGCAGGCACATGGGCCCAGCATGACTTTCAAGCTGCTAGGTCTGGGACTTGAACTGCAGTTGGCCATGTGGGAATCCAGTTACCTAACCACCACACTACTTGCTGGCCCTTGCAGAGATCTTTACAAGTATAATATACAAATTAAAAATTATAAAAAGCCTAATACCCTGTAATAGGAATATAATTAACTAAAATACACCTGCAAAAATTATGTATTCCAAAACATATCTATAAAGTATGTATAATAAGAAAACACTCATGTTAATATTCTACATGAAAAATGCAGTATATGTGTTTAGATAAGAAATGCATAATATTATATTATAAAAGAAAATACATAGAAGAAATCTGAGGATAAATACATTAAGATTTTAATAGAAGTTGTTTTACTACAACATTAGTAGTGACATAAATAATTTTTTTAAAAAAGGAATTATTTATTTAATTTTATTTATTCATTCATTTATTTTAATTTGATGAGAGAGAGAGAGGGGGGGAATGTGAGAAAGCAAGCCACCAGGTCCAAGACTCGAACTGTGGTTGACCATGTGGAAGTGTCCAGCACCTTAATCACCAAGCTACCTGCTGGCTCCTGACCTAAAGAAATTTTAAAAAAATTATCGGTATTGAGGGTCAGCAGATGGCATAGAGGTTAATGCACTGCATCCCACATGGCCCACTCTGCGATTCAAGTTCTGCACATCTGGTAGTTTGAAAATCATGCCAGGTGCATGAGCTCGTGTGCCCAAAATTTGAAGAGGAAAATGGAAGGTAAGAGATTGAAGTGTGGCCATCTTCCCACCCTGTCTCTTTCTCTACGGCAAGCACACGCATGCTATATCAAAAACAAAAACAAAAATATAAACAATCTGTACTTCCCAAAGCTTCTTTTTTCTCCCCCCTTTTGGTTTTTGCGTAGGGTACGTGCACTCACCAGAGGGAGCCAGGGAAAGACAGTGAGAGGGAAGGTGAGATATCACTCCCCAGGGGGATGACTACACAGCAATCCCTTCTACTCCATTCTCCTCTTGGGATTTGGGGCACACACACACAAACACCCGCCGGCATGATTTTCAAGTCACTGGGTCTGGGACTTGAACTGCAGGAGGCCACATGTTGGCCGTGTGGGAATCCAGTGCTTTAACCACCATCCCACCTGATGCCTCCCCAAGTTTTGTTTTGCTTTGTTTTAATACACATATAAATTACTCTGTAAAAGATACACTTTAAAAAAAAAATTATTTCATGAGAGAGGGGGAGAGTGTGTGAGCACATCTCCAACAGGGTCCTTACGCCACAATCCAGGCCCAGCCTTCAGCCAGCCCAGATCATAGGCACGAGGGTGCCTGGCGTACTCAAGGAGGTCTCCAGACTTGAACCAGCAACCTTTCCCTTTAGGACTGTCTCACAGAGCATTGTGCTTTACTGCTGCGCCACTGTCTGGCCCCTAGAAATAAACTATTTTTAATGTACTTTCCCACTGTGTATGTAGCTTCCTGACTATTCGGTTCCAATTTGGCTTCTTTCTGTTGTTGTTTTAGCACCAAGACAAATATTAATACATGTTTGATGACTTCAGCTTTTCCTATGGTATTTATTTTGGGCAATATGAATTTGTACTGGATTTTTTGGTGAACATTCTTTTCATGTGTGTTCACTCCCTTTTCTCTAACTATGATAGAAAGCACGCTTCTGTTGCATTTGTTGTTCCCCATAGCTCCTCAACACAGTGTGTCTACCATGGATGTGTAATAAATACAGACAAAATGTATTGCCTCTTTTGTCTCGTGGCACCTAGAACCACACTTGGATAACAGTTAGCTATATGCCTGTCTTAATTTCAAATAGGACTATTGGCTCCTTGAAGACAATCTTTTTTTTTTTTGAATTTTCCATAGGGCTCATGTGCTCAGCAGAGAGAGGGAGAGTGACAAAGCACCTCCATGGGAGGGATGACCATGCTGCAATCCCTTCTACCCCATTCTCCTCTCAGGATTTTGGTCATACATACATCCCTGGGTGTTTTTCAAGTCGCTGGGTTTGGGACTCAAACCATATAAATGGCCATGTGGGATTCAGCAACCTTAACCACCACACCACCAGCTAGCTTAAATTTGTCTCATTGGGACCAGCAGATGGCATAATGATTACTTGCTGGACTCCCACATGGCCAACCATGGTTCAAGTCTTGGACCCGGCAGCTTGAAACTCACATCAGGCTTGTGTGCCCAAGATCCCAGGAGGAGGGATTGTGGTGTGGCCATCCCCCCGGGGGGTGATTTTTAAGTTCCTGTCTCTGTCTCTCTCTGTCTTTCTGGCAAGAACAGGCACTCTATAGCAAAAATCTAAAAGAAAAAAAAAATTCTCTAATTTATTTTTGTGTTTCTAATGTTGATCATTGTTCCTGGAACAGAGAGGTACTCAGTAAAAGACACTGAGTATATCGTCCTTTGATAACACCTGGACCTGATTGGCGTAGCACTGTTCAAATGCATTTTCTTTGCTCTTGTTTAATCATCACGGTGCAGTGTTAAAGGCTCAGAGCTCAGACTGTGAAACCAGATTTTCACTTCAATCCTGGCTCTGTTCCTTCTGCTACTTAATAGCTCTGTGGTCTGGGCAAGCTATTTAGCCTGCCTGTGCTGCACTTCCCTAATTCATAATAGGAGATAATAACAGTATCTACTCCAAGAGTTGTTCTGAGGGAATAAATGAGTTAATGCACAGAAAATGTATCATAGTACCCTGCATATAGTAAGCTCCCAGTGGAAGCTAATTATTATCAGAAGGCTTCTTCCTTTTAGTAATTAAAACAACAGAGTGAAAATACTTGAGGACATACATTTTCCTATCACTGAATTTTTATTTATTTATTTATTTATTTATTGGAGACGTTTTTGCTACAGGCTACGTGCGCTCGCCAGACAGACAGAGAGACAGAAAGTGGGAAATCACCCCCCAGGGGGGATGGCCACGCAGGAAACCCTTCTCCTCCATTCTCCTCTCAGGATCTTGGGCACACACGCACATGCGCCCGGCGTGAGTTTAAGCCACTGGGTCCGGGATGCGAACCGTGGTCGACTATGTGGGAGTCCAGCGACATAGCCATTACGCTAACTGCTGGCCCCTATCACTGAATTTATTAAACAACATTGAAATTATGTCTGAGACAACTGACAACAGAATATGCCCAATCAAGCTCTTTGCAGGTTGTGGAACTGGAAGCTGCCCACACTGAGAAACATCCCTGATGAGAGAGTTCTACCTTCTTTCTCTCACCACAACCTTGAATGTCCACTTCTGCAGAGCAAATTTTTGGGGAGAGTTTATTTTATTTTATTTTATTTTTTTTTTGCTATAGGATTGCATGTGCTCAATGGAGAGACAGAGAAAGAGACAGAAAGTGAGAAATTACCCCCTGGGGGTGCATGGTATGGCCACCACCACAATCCCTTCTCCTCTCAGGATTTTGGGCATGAACGCACCCATGCCTGGTTTCAAATAGCCAAGTCCAGGACTCACAGCCATGTGGGAGTTCAACACCTTAAACCACTAAGCCACCTGTTGGCTCCATGCAGAGTAATTTTAAGGTAGAAATTCAAGTGTTATCAATAGGGGAGGTGAGAATTAAAGTGGTTAGCATCTTTAATACTGCATATCATTTATTTTCCTTAAAAAGTAGCACAACTGTTGGGACCAGCAGTTAGCATAATGACTATGTCACTGGACTCCCACGTAGTCGACCATGGTTGAGTCCCGGACCCGGTGGCTTAAGATCACACCAGGTGCTTGTGCGTGCGTGCCCAAGATCCCAAGAAGAGGATTGAGGAGGAAGAACTGCAGTGTAGCTATCCCTCTGGGGGAGGATTTCTCGCTTTCTGTCTCTCTTTCTGGGGAGTGCACGCACCTCATAGCAAAAACCTCTCCCCCCCTAAAAAAAAAAGTAACACAACTGTTAATACACAAACTGAACAGTACACAGGGTCTTCAAAAAGTTCATGGAAAGTGCATATTATGAAAACATTATGCATAGATTTCCAAAAATTTTGCCCCCAAACTTGTACTTTAATTCCATCTTTCCACAGGCTTTTTGTTTTTTGTTTTTGTTTTTTGGAGAGATTTTTGCCATAGGGCACATGCGCTCACCAGACAGACAGAGAGAGACATACAGACAGAAAGCGAGAAATCACCCCCCAAGGGGGATGGTCACGCTGCAATCCCTTCTCCTCCATTCTTCTCCTGGGATCTTGGGCACGCATGCACACGCGCCCGGCGTGAGTTTTAAGCCACCGGGTCTGGGACACGAACCGCGGTCGACTACGTGGGAGTCCAGCGACACAGTCATTACGCTAACTGCTGGTTCCACCTCCACAGGCTTTTTGAAGTCCCCTCATACAACATAGGAAGAGAGGGTGTATATTTAAAACCATAACTACATCTACATCTCTATCTCTCCTTCACTTATCTATATACCATCTATCTATCTATTGAGTCTTCAGAAAAGTCATGACATTTTTTTCTATGCAAAAATGTGACTTTTCCCATGACTCAAAATCTATCTATTATCTATCTATATATCTATCCATCCATCCATCCATTCCAGATTGTACTGTGGCCTTCCATAAGATTTTTAATAGCATAATATAAAATTAAATGCCCTAACATGATATAGAAGGGTAATGGCTTAAGCTCACATTGTTGAGAGAGATTTTACTTAATGCTTACACTTAATTATATTTTAAATAATTATTTATTTTATTTTATTTATTCATTCATTTTATTTTTTTAGTTTGACCAGAGAGAGACAGAGGGTGAGAGTGAGAGAGAGAGGAAGTAAGAAAGCAAGCCACCAGATTCAGGACTTGAACCCTGGTTGGCTACGTGGGAGTGTCCAGCACCTTAACCACCATGCCACCTGCTGGTCCCCTACACTTAATGTTTTAAAAAGCTACACCATTATTTGTATATCTGAAAACATCCGTAACGATGAATGAATGTGAACTCTTAAAGATGTTCCAGTTTTCCTAGTACTTGCACAGAAGTTATTTTATCAGAGCCTTGGGAAAACATTGATACTTGGTGATTAATACTCTCACTTGGTTTAAAGTAGATAAATGAGCCAAGATGGGGCCAGCAGGTGGTGTGGAGGTTAAGGTGTTGGATTCCCATATGGCCGACATGATTCCAGTACTGGACCCCATGGCTTGAAAATCAAGGCGGTTGTGTGCATGTGCATGCCCAAAATCCCAAGAGGAGAATGGAGGAGAAGGGATTGCAGAATGGCCATCCATTCCTTAGGGGTTGATTTCTCATTTTTCCTTTCTTTGTCTCTTTCCATCAAAAAAAAAAAAAAAAAAAAAAAAGGCTAGCCAAGGTGAAACAAATTAGCAAATGGTATTATGGGATGCAGGACAGTGTCTTCTGTGGGAGACCTGTTATTCTGCTATGCTGCGTATCTTCATTCTTTTCTACAAATGTAAATAAAATGTAGTAACTTCACTTCAGATCAACACATGAAAAATTTTATCTGGCTTAGAAATCTTTCATGAGAGGGAACCAGCAGTTAGTGTAATGGCTATGTCACTGGACTCCCATGTAGTCGACCGTGGTTTGCGTCCCAGACCCGGTGGCTTAAAACTCACGCCGGGCGCGTGTGCGTGCGTGCCCAAGATCCCGAGAGGAGAATGGAGAAAGGATTGTGGCGTGACCATCCCCCCTGGGGGGTGATTTCTCACTTTCTGTCTCTATGTCTCTCTCTGTCTGTCTGGTGAGCGCACGCACCCTATAGCAAAAACCTCTCAAAAAAAAAAAAAAAAAAAAAGAAATCTTTCACGAGAAACAAGACATTTTCAAACTGCTTTCCACTTATTCCTTGGCATTAGAACTCCGAATCAAGGGGCCAGCTGGTGTATGGTCGTTAAGGTGCTAGAGTCTCACATGGCCGCCGACTGTGCTTTGGTCCCGAATGCAGTGTCTTTGAAAATCATGCCAGTCCGTGGGTGTGCATGCCCGAAATCTTAAGGAGAAGGGATTGCAGAGTGACTATCCCTCCTGTGTGTGTGTGTGTGTGTGTGTGTGTATGTGTGATTTCTCACTCACTACCCCTCCAGTGAGCGCAGGAGCCCTATGGCAAAAAAATGAAAAAACAAACTAAGTCAAGATGGGTCCATTTACTTAAATTGGCATAAAGTCAATTTGGAATTCTAAAATTGCATTTATCTTGTTGAAGCTTCTTCTTTCTGTTGCCCTTACAGTGAGCGGAGGGTATCAACAAAAACGAAAACATCATATATGGACCATGGGGTTACAGCTGTATCTTCCCAACCCAGAACCCGAGACCGCCAACAGCATGTCTGCCTTGAAGGGACGTGCATAATGTGGAGGTGCAGTTACCCTGGCAGTGTTTTGCAGATGGAGTCAATGTTTCACTCAGGGAAGAGAAACAAGTTAAGGGATAGGCACTTCTATTGAAGTCTAGCACAAAAGCCCCACAACAGACAACAAGGAGAACACTTTCATAATTTTCAGAGTGCCTACGGCAGGTTTCTTTTACATTCACTGAAAAATTTCCAGGCACTTTCTATATTTACACTAGGCATGAAACCATTATATGAAACCTCCTGTCAAATGTGCTTCTAGTTTTCTTCGAAAATGACAGTACTAAAACATAACCACAGACTTTAATATCCCTACTGCTATGTCTGCGTGTGTGTCAGCGTGCAGATTCCAAAATCTAACGCATTAAAACAAACAAAAATGTGCTTACAATTTTAGTAGAATTTTGTGAATACTGAATTTAGGTTGCTAGAAATGACCAACTTATGGAGAACCAAGAAGCATGCTTAACTTTAGCATCATCTTCCTATTGTCTCCTTTTATTTTATTTTATTTTTTTTTTTGAGAGATTTTCATTGTAGGGCGCATGCGCTCGCCAGACAGACAGAGAGAGACATAGAGACAGAAAGCGAGAAATCACCCCCCAGGGGGGAATGGTCACGCCGCAATCCCTTCTCCTCCATTCTCCTCTCGGGATCTTGGGCACGCACGCACACGCGCCCGGCGTGAGTTTTAAGCCACCGGGTCCAGGACACGAACCGCGGTCGACTATGTGGGAGTCCAGCGACATAGCCATTACGCTAACTGCTGGTTCCCTCCTTTTAGTTTTTGACTAGATTAAATAAATAGTTATCAGATTCTTTTTGGCATAAGCAAATCAATGAAAAATTATAGTGTTTTGATAATATAGCATAGTTATCATCTCTGTCAACAAAAAATTCTCAAAGGGCAAATATGGATCTTCGTATAAATTACAAACACTGTCTATACCAAATCTACTATATTCATTGACTCTTTTTAAAAATTTTTGTGATGGGGGCCAGCTGGTGGTGTGGTGGTTAAGGGCACTGGACTCCCACAGGGCTGATGTGGTTCAAGTCCCCGTCCTGGCAGCTTGCTTTCTCATTTTCCCTGTCTCCTTCTCTTGTTCTCGCTCTGTCCCTCTCTGGTCAAATTAAAAAATAAGTAAGTAAAGTTAAATAAAATAATTCTTAAAATAATTTTTTTTGTGTGTGATGATCTGTTTATCTATTTTTATTTCTCCTTCAACACACTAAGCTTCTAAAATGAACAACCACTGTGGGTGTTTTAGCGGGTCATATAGAGAATGTTCCGACAGACAGCTATATGGATAAAAAAGACTTCACTGGATAGCATGGCTGAGGAATGAAAAATATTAAATAGACCACTTATTTTGTTAGTTATTAGTGTGGTATAAAATTTCTCTTCTGCAGTAATTAAATAAAAAAAAAGAAAAAAAAATAAAATGATGGGTATTAAAAAAGATCCTAGGTCAGCAAGTAGCACAGACATTAAGGCTGCTGGATCCCACCTGAACCAACTAGGAGTTCAAGTCCCAGATCCTGTGGCTTGAGAAATATACCGTGTGTGTGCATGCCCCAGATGCCAAGAGAATGAAGAAGGGACTGCAACATGGCCATCCCCCTGAGTGGTGGTTTGTCACTTTCTCTCTCTCTGCCTCTCTCCAACAAGCATGTGTACCTATAGCAAACAAACAAACAAACAAACAATCCTATTTGAGACTCCAGGAGAAGGCCTGGCACTGATGTTTTGTGGCACAAAAGCCAGGCTTATTTACCACCTTCTACTCTTTACTCACATTTCCAGCTCCTCAGGATGAAAAGAATGTGCTACTGACAATGTTTTACTGCAGCTGTATTTCCAATACGCACATATTTCAATGAGACATTTTCACCGACTCACCGATTTCATTCTGCAGAGAAAGATTCCGAGACAAATTCCGCAGCAGGGAGACGGCAGTCTTTTTCACACTTGGGTCACCAATATGCAGCATCTTCCGAGTGTGCTGAAGGCCATTCTCCTTCTGGACAACGGTCTGAGCCACTGACGTCGGCATCTGTTTTGTGAGATATGTCCCATGAATGCTATCGCGTTTGATGCATACTCAGATTTTGTTTTCTGTAGAAAACTTCTGTGGAGAATGTTAGCTTTTCAACAGATCCTTGCTAGAGGCTGAGGAAGATGTAAAACCTAGAATGTGATGAAACTAGTCTAATGATATTTGTTTAAGTTTTTATTAGGTTTTCAATTTATTGAGTGGATAAAACAGTTTACTGAATATTTGTCAATGCAATGTTGGATTTGGGTAGCCATTAATTTTTGGATTCATGTTTATAAATAAAATAAAGTCTTTTTCTTTTCTGTACTACCTCTGTCAGTTTTAGAATCAAGGTTACCCTAATACTACAATATTTCTTGACTCATGTTTTACTTTCTCTATCTTCTTGAATTATTTGTGTAATACAAGAATGGTCTTGTCTTCGTGGGTTTGGTAGAATTTAGTCATGTAGCTATACGTAAATCACTCACTTCCATGGTGATAAGGAATCTGTGCTCACCCAGAAAGCCAACTGAGCTGAGAAAAAATTTTAAAGGCAGATATCTTTAATTATCATTTCAGTTTCTTTACTGGTTGGTGGCTTAGTCATCTTTCCTGTTTTTTCTTGTTCGAGTTTTAGCATTTTACATATTTTATTAAACTTGTTCATTTCTTACCCAAAATCCATTTTATTCTGAAAGAGATATTGGACTTTTAAAGAAATCAATGTATGGCTAGTTGAATGATCTATTAGAGGCCCTGCTTCAGAGGCTACTTGTGCAAGTTTCTGAGTCTTGGTCCACTACAGGCAAATCTTACTTAGAATTACTTTGGTCATTTACTTTCAGGAGATCTGGTACTTCTTAGGATCAATGAACCTGAGATTTTCTATTACACTTCTGTGTGAAGTTGCAAATTCTTATAATTCTTGACCGTTCTTCAAGATGTCTTATCTTCTTGGTTTATTTCATCTAAATACTGCCCCCTCAATGTATTCTCTTCCTTCTTACACTTTTCCACTCTGCCTTCTAGGATGGGGACTGATTTTGCCTTGCTTTGTCTTCAATGCCAGGGGGATGTGTGCATAGGAAAGGGAGGGAGAGGGAGAGACAGTAGGAAAGAGACAAAGGGAAAGCGAGAAAGAGGGAGAAGCACCCTCCAGTGGGGCCCAGCCACAGTGCAATCCTTTTTTCTCTAATTCTTCATCCGGTCAGGATCCTGGGCACGTGTGCATAAACTCAGCATGTTGTTCAAGCCAGAGTTTGAACTCCAACCCAGACTGGCCATGTGGGAGCTGCCTTCTCTGCACTGTGCTGAACTGCTGCACTAAAGGGCCAGCCCTAGAATGGAAATTCTTAATATAGGGTGCAGGATAGGCCTCAGGATAGGGATAGGGGATCTCCAAAATTAATTTTGTATTTATAACCAACCATCCCAGGGAAATGGTCCATAACATTTATTAGACTTTCAAAGTGTCCATGATAAAGTTTAGTTCACTGCTTAAAAAGTATCTGCTTGCTAAGCAAGTTACAATTAGTCTTTTACTAGGAACATTCTATTAGACTGACTTCTCTCCTCTTAAGAAAGTCTTTCCCCTGGAGCTCTCCAGAGGAGAGGTGATTTATTCTGTACAACTCCTGTAATCATTCTTTTTAGAAATTATAAAAGCAGGGGCCAGCAGATGGTGTGGAGGTTAAGGTGGCTGGGTTCCACAGAGCTGCCTGCATGGTTTGAGTCCCGAGCCCAGCAGCTTGAAAAACACACCAGGTGCATGTGCCTGTGGGCCCAATATTCCAAGGGAAAAACGGAGAAGTGATTGCAGCATGGTATCTTCCCTAGGGAGTGTTTTCTCACTTTCCCTCTGTCTCTGTCTCTGGCGAGTGCACACATCCTATAACAAAAATTAAAAAAAAAAAGAATTACCCAAACAAGGATCTTCATTATACCATCTAAGCATAAAAACATTGGAAAAAGTATAATGGTTCAAAAGGCTTTACATGTAGGTCAAAATTTTAATAAAAAGTATCTCATAATTTAAAAGACTAAAAGGGTCCTTATGCCATTGTCCCATGCTACTAATCACTTCCTCCTGTAACTCTCCAGTTAAGAACAACTCTAACAGTCTTGGGATGGATCAATACCACTTTAGTGCAGACCTCCTCTGAAGGGACTGAACGAGTCTAAGGCTTGGAATGATTCCCAATGCATCGACACCATGAGAAGGTTACAAAGACCATCTGCCTTGCTTGGTCCCTTTCTGAACTCAGTCCCTTAAATTTCTCTTAGTACCTGAAATGATTTTTTCCCAGTTAAACTATTACCAAATATAGAAATTCTTTCCTTATTTACCACTATATACACAGCACTAGCCTGTTAGGCAGTGAATACTCAAAAGAATGTTCAATAAGTAAATGAGGGAACTTAGGATCTGCACTTTAATTTTTAAAATTTAATTAATTATTACTATTATTTAATTTGACCAGATAGAGACAGAGAGGGAAAGTGACAAAGTAAGCCACCAGGTCTGGGACTCAAACTGTGGTCAGCCAGGTGGGAATCCAGCACTTTAACCACCATGCCACCCATCGGCCCCACGATCTGCATTTTAAACTACATATGGAGAGCTCACATGGCACAAATATCCCTGTATCTTCAGGAATAGGAAGCATTCCCGGCCTGTCAGAATTCCATGGAAAGCTCTTGGAATACACAGAAAAGATTAAAACCCAAGCTTAAATGATTAGCTCGTAACTGATCCATACTCAAAATACATTGAGCTTAAACCCACATGCATATACACACATACCGATTTAACTTCTAATATACTTTTAAAAGTTGACTGGAAATTAACAAGAGGGCTTTTGTGATTTGGCAAAGCAAACAAAATGGTTTGGGGAAAACATAGCATGGGAAATTGGGAAATAAGATGATAAATGAATATTCTTGTGTCATTAAGAGCCCTGGTAGTTTCCCATTTCTTTTTCTTTGTACACAGTATAGTTTGTAGAAAAATCAGAGATGAAAGTTGTGGGGTTTTTTTGGTTTGTTTTTGAGAGATTTTGCTATACAGTGTGTTAACTCACTGGAGAGACAGAGAGAGGCAGACAGAAAATGAAAAATAGCCCCCCAGGGAGGATGGCCATGCCACAACCCCTCTCCTCCATTCTCCTGTCAGGTTTTTGGGCACCCACGCACATGCACCTAGCATGAGTTTCAAGCCACATAGAGACAGAGAGGGAAAGTGACAAAGTAAGCCACCAGGTCTGGGACTCAAACTGTGGTCAGCCAGGTGGGAATCCAGCACTTTAACCACCATGCCACCCATCGGCCCCACGATCTGCATTTTAAACTACATATGGAGAGCTCACATGGCACAAATATCCCTGTATCTTCAGGAATAGGAAGCATTCCCGGCCTGTCAGAATTCCATGGAAAGCTCTTGGAATACACAGAAAAGATTAAAACCCAAGCTTAAATGATTAGCTCGTAACTGATCCATACTCAAAATACATTGAGCTTAAACCCACATGCATATACACACATACCGATTTAACTTCTAATATACTTTTAAAAGTTGACTGGAAATTAACAAGAGGGCTTTTGTGATTTGGCAAAGCAAACAAAATGGTTTGGGGAAAACATAGCATGGGAAATTGGGAAATAAGATGATAAATGAATATTCTTGTGTCATTAAGAGCCCTGGTAGTTTCCCATTTCTTTTTCTTTGTACACAGTATAGTTTGTAGAAAAATCAGAGATGAAAGTTGTGGGGTTTTTTTGGTTTGTTTTTGAGAGATTTTGCTATACAGTGTGTTAACTCACTGGAGAGACAGAGAGAGGCAGACAGAAAATGAAAAATAGCCCCCCAGGGAGGATGGCCATGCCACAACCCCTCTCCTCCATTCTCCTGTCAGGTTTTTGGGCACCCACGCACATGCACCTAGCATGAGTTTCAAGCCACTAGGTGGAGGACTTGAACCATGGTTGGCCATGTGGGAGTCCAGCACCTTAACCACTATGCCACCTGCTGGCCCCGGTTTGGTTGCATTTTTAATTACAATGCTAAGAGAAATATGAGAGGTCTTCAAGATGTTTATAGAAAATACGTATGAAAAAAATCAGGCATGAATTTCAAATTTTTCTGTACCAAAATAAACTCATACTTTAATTCCATCTTTTCCTATAAACTCTTTAAAGTTTCCTCATATTGGGTAGCATTTCACAATTTTCTTCAAAACATACAGTAAGATTCCATTAGGTCATTAGAAAAGTCATGACGTATTTTCCTATGCAAAAATGTGTCATGACTTTCCTGACAACCCAATATGTAAACATACTTACATTGAAGAGTATGGGCTTCTCAAAGAATAAATATTTTTGTTATCTACAAGAGTGTTTTTTTCCATGAGGACAGAGAATTGGAAAACAGCCATGTCATGAAATAGTATGGGGCTATTTATTTTATTCATTTTAGATCAAGGCAAAGAATATCAGCCTACCTCAAAAAATAACAAATTTATAGAATCCCTAAATATGTATCATGGTATGAAATACACTGGGAAGAGAATAAACTTTTCCTGTTTCATATATTTTGATTTAACTGGTATAAAGTAAATGCGACTAGAAAGAGAATCAGCTCTTTACTTTGTAGTTGAATTTCTAGGACACAAAAACACAGATGTCCTTTCCAAATCCATACTGCAGTAGACATCTGTTGTTTTTGCCTGCCCTCTTGGAATACACAGAAAAGATTAAAACCCAAGCTTAAATGATTAGCTCGTAACTGATCCATACTCAAAATACATTGAGCTTAAACCCACATGCATATACACACATACCGATTTAACTTCTAATATACTTTTAAAAGTTGACTGGAAATTAACAAGAGGGCTTTTGTGATTTGGCAAAGCAAACAAAATGGTTTGGGGAAAACATAGCATGGGAAATTGGGAAATAAGATGATAAATGAATATTCTTGTGTCATTAAGAGCCCTGGTAGTTTCCCATTTCTTTTTCTTTGTACACAGTATAGTTTGTAGAAAAATCAGAGATGAAAGTTGTGGGGTTTTTTTGGTTTGTTTTTGAGAGATTTTGCTATACAGTGTGTTAACTCACTGGAGAGACAGAGAGAGGCAGACAGAAAATGAAAAATAGCCCCCCAGGGAGGATGGCCATGCCACAACCCCTCTCCTCCATTCTCCTGTCAGGTTTTTGGGCACCCACGCACATGCACCTAGCATGAGTTTCAAGCCACTAGGTGGAGGACTTGAACCATGGTTGGCCATGTGGGAGTCCAGCACCTTAACCACTATGCCACCTGCTGGCCCCGGTTTGGTTGCATTTTTAATTACAATGCTAAGAGAAATATGAGAGGTCTTCAAGATGTTTATAGAAAATACGTATGAAAAAAATCAGGCATGAATTTCAAATTTTTCTGTACCAAAATAAACTCATACTTTAATTCCATCTTTTCCTATAAACTCTTTAAAGTTTCCTCATATTGGGTAGCATTTCACAATTTTCTTCAAAACATACAGTAAGATTCCATTAGGTCATTAGAAAAGTCATGACGTATTTTCCTATGCAAAAATGTGTCATGACTTTCCTGACAACCCAATATGTAAACATACTTACATTGAAGAGTATGGGCTTCTCAAAGAATAAATATTTTTGTTATCTACAAGAGTGTTTTTTTCCATGAGGACAGAGAATTGGAAAACAGCCATGTCATGAAATAGTATGGGGCTATTTATTTTATTCATTTTAGATCAAGGCAAAGAATATCAGCCTACCTCAAAAAATAACAAATTTATAGAATCCCTAAATATGTATCATGGTATGAAATACACTGGGAAGAGAATAAACTTTTCCTGTTTCATATATTTTGATTTAACTGGTATAAAGTAAATGCGACTAGAAAGAGAATCAGCTCTTTACTTTGTAGTTGAATTTCTAGGACACAAAAACACAGATGTCCTTTCCAAATCCATACTGCAGTAGACATCTGTTGTTTTTGCCTGCCCAGCATTTATTCCTTTTTTTTTTTTTAAAGTAATAATGCTGATTTTCCATCAGGGAGTCACTCCTTTACCCTGACAGTTCATATAGTGCAAGCGGCAGTGAGTGACCTGTTTGGCTCGAAATCCTGCCCCTGAAATCCACTGGAGGCCTTATCACCTAGACCTGGCTAATCAGCATAGCCTTCTAGTCACAGGGACGGGATCAGAAATGAACAAGATAGGCAAGAGATCCACATCAGGCCACTGAGATGCATTCTCTGAGTTCTTAACAGAGCTGTTGGGAAAATGGTAGTTGTTGTTGTATTTTTTCCCTTCTGGGGACATCAGAATAGCATAATGTAAGCCTGCAATAATTCATGGCTACTGCTTATTACCAGATGGGTAGAGCCTTTGAGAATGAAACTAACACAGGAAAACAGCCCAGAGATGGAGAAAGTCATAATTATTATAGTGGAGCACCAAAGTCCAGTTATGAGAGAAATGAGCCCAGAGATGGAGAAAGTCATAGTTATTAGAGTGGAGCACCAAAGTCCAGTTATGAGAGAAAGAACACCCGATATGGGCTTTTCAGCTCCATGAACAAGAAATTCCTCGATTTTGCTTAAACTGGGGCAGAGCAGGACTCTAAGACGTGCACCTGAGAGAGCACTGGCCGCTGCACACACTGACAAGTTTCACTGCGGTCTGACTTGACTCTGTGGAAGCTGAGGCTGAAAGCCCTAGAAGGCTGAAATTCTCTCTGGCAATTCCTCAGACCCGTCCTAACTGAAGTGCGGAAACTGTGCCTCATTGTTTCAGCTCTGAACCTAACATAGGGGTGCCTACAATGTCATTATTTTTAAAAGTAGAAAAATGGGCAGGATACTCACTGGTCCGCTTCCTGCGGTGAGATTCTGGAGCGCTCCTAGAGATGCTTCCTGTGTGTAGTTTCGGACACTCTTGGCGATCAAGGACAAATACATCCTTATCACAATGGAGTGCCACAGCCACTCCACACCCTTGGGGTTGCTCTTTTCCTCTGGCATTGGCACGTCCTGGTATTGCTGACCACACACGGAATACAGAATTAATGCATGTCAGGCAACGCCTACAGTTCCACTCCCAAACCAAGAGAACAGACATACCATCTAGAAAGGCTAATAATTTAGTTGCATAATAAGAAGCCCGTAAGGCCCAGATATAGTAGCGTGTGCTTGTTGGTGCTGCTACTTGGCAGGATGGGGTCAGTGGGAGGCCTGGATTGACTATCAGTCTCCCCAGAAAGCCAGCGGTGTGCACCTGTAGCCCCATCTACTTGGGAGGTTGAAGCAGGACCACTGCCCCATAGTGAGACACTTTTTAATTTTTTTTATGAGAGGTTTTTGCTATAGGGTGCGTGTGCTTGCCAGAAAGACAGAGAGAGACATAAAGTGAGAAATCACCCCCCAGGGGGGACGGTCACGCTGCAGTCCCTTCTCGTCCAATCTCTCAGGATCTTGGGCACGCACGCACACATCCCTGGACTGAGTTTAAGCCACCAGTCTGAGACTCAAACCTCGGTCGACTACGTGGGAGTCCAGCAACATAGCCATTACATCAACTGCTGGTCCCAAGACACTGTCTTTAATTAAAATAAAAAACAAAAACAAAAAACAAGCAGAAGCCTTTGAAATAGATATAAAAAATATAAATACGTAAGATATTTTTCAATTACTTAACTTTTAGCCCACGATGATTCTTTCTTCCTACCAACACGTCACACTCCCTAATAATATATTCTTTCCCCATGAAAGAGAATTACACTTAGGCAGTTCTAAGACCGGTTTTCAGTCTGCTGTTAAGCTAAAAGCTAAATTAGTCACAACTATCCTGAAGATAAGAAAAACAGGCCTGTTCCCTCAGAGCCTTGTGAAGTTGTCCAGGACAGCATCAGGGTCCTAAATGTGCCAGCTGTTCTCCAAGTTCACAAATACCTCAGAGGAGGGGAGGTCACATTCTTTCACTCTTCATGTTGGTATGGAAATAAATATGTGTTCTTTTCTCTGCTGCTTTTAGTATATCCAAAGTTTGCCTTTAGAATGCCCAAACCCAAGCATCAGAGTTGCTTTTAATGTAAAAACAATTTACATACTGTTTGCCAAGTAGCATTATGCTTATTTCCTAATCTGTAGGGTATACTGTAGTGTGGATTAATTGCTAACAGTGCAAATCTGGAGCCAGACAGCCTGGGATTGAATTCCATACCCTTTATTTATTTTCTGTATTATTCTGGGAATATTAATTAAACTTTCTGTGTCATCATTTTCTCATCAATGAATGAAGATATTAATAATATATACTTTATTTATTTATCTTTTGGGGGAGAGGTTTTTCACTATAGGGCATGTGTGCTCGCCAGACAAGAGAGAGACATAGAGACAGAAAGTGAGAAATCACCCCCCCCAGGGGGGATGGTCACACCGCAATCCCTTCTCCTCCATTCTCCTCTCGGGATCTTGGGCACGCACGCACATGCGCCTGGTGTGTTTTAAGCCACCGGGTCCGGGACATGAACCATGGTCAACTATGTGGGAGTCCAGCGACATAGCCATTACGCTAACTGCTGGTTCCCAATAATATATACTTTAAAGAGCTGATGTAAGTAGCCAGCAGGTGGCATGACAGTTAAGGTGCCAGACTCCCACATGGTCAACTGTAGTTAACAGTCCTGGACCTGGTGGCTTGAAAATTGTACCAACCGTGTGTGCATGCATATCCAGAATCCCAGGAGGAGAATGGAGAAAAAGAAATTGTGGTGTGGCCATCCCCCCAGGGGGTGATTTCTCATTTTCCCTTTTACTGTCTCTCTCTCTTTCTCTCTGGTGAGTGCATACACCTTAAGGCAAAAAAACTTAAAAAAAAAAAAAGTTGATGTAAGGATTAAAAGAACTTCAGATAGTTCCTGACACATAATAAATACTCAAACACACAGACACATAGATGAACACACACTCTCTCTTTGATTCTTTTGGACAGCTCCCAATATACCTCTTTTACTTTCCTGCTACGACTGCCAAAACACCCAATACTCTTGTTGTTGTCAGTCTGGATATTCCGGTTTTGAATATAGATACTCTGGGAATATTTCTCTGGGAGCTCTGCTTCCAGCTGGTAGGAAAGGTTGTGAAGAATGCACACACAGTTCTCTGTGGCCTGAGAAAAGAGGACATGAATCTTGATCATATACCTACGATATCCCTTTGTAGATGTGATATCACATGACTTATTGGGCTTTAGCTCTTACAAGGTATACGGAATATAACAGGTTATGCCCGGACTGTGGGGTTCCTGGGGAGCGTGGAATGAATGTGGCTAGAAAAGCTAAGGTTAAATCATGAATGGCTAAGGAATAGAGGCTGAATTTCTCAAAACAATGAAAAGCCTTTTGAGCTCACTTTCTAGAGTGTGTCCAGAACGACTCTGTATTCTAGATACATAACTTGGTAGCCATGTTGAGTTGAAAAATAGGAGATACTGTTTACAGGAGTCAATTGCTGTTATAATAATTAGTGTGAAAGAAGTATATAGGAGGACAGCAGTAGTAGCAGTAGAGAGAAGTAGATGACCTAACAGGCATTTCAGAAGTAGAATGTACATGACTTGTTACCCAGTAGATATGGGATGTAGGAGAAAGGAGGTAGCTAAGATTATTCAGATTTCTATCTTCATTTGATGGATGGTGATAGTTATTGAGGAGGATGACACAGAGGAAGAGCAAGGTTGGGGAGAGGGAAGAGATGAATTTAAGTTCCTTGTCGAACCTGGAGTATTTGGACTCCTTCCAAAAATCTATACAAGAGTTATTAAAAAGAGAGTTGAAAATTTGCCTCTAGAAGTAGAAAGAAAAATAAAGTTAAATAGATTTTCATATTTCTCAGCATGTGTAAGAAATCTTAGGCTCAGCCATTGAGTCAATGAATAAATCCAAACTGAGTAGTTACTTTTAGAATACTCTGAAGCATCATAGAAAGACAAAACAGGTAACTCAGTATGTAAGGCATTTAACTTTGAGATCACCTTGTCATCTGGCTGGTAATCTGCAATGGTTCCTCTGACATAGTGGACCAGTGAGTCAATGAGGCCTTCACACCTTCTCATCACTTTCCTCCCGTCGGGGCCAGCTGAACTCATGTTTCTATCAGGAAAAACAAATACACCAAAAAAGCACATCTTGGGCTGTGTGTCCAACAGGCCTTTGTTTTAAAGAAAAGGGGCAAATTCATAAAAATAGGGCAGACTTTCTGAGGTCAGTAAATCACTGATTGTCTAATGGTCATCAAATCTGGACATGATTTCTAAAAATGTCCACATGACATAAAATGGTGTCAATAAAAGTCTTTTGCCTATTTGACTTCACATACCAAGGTCAGGCACTATTTATTTTACTTAATATTACCCTATTTTTGAGATGGCAGATATGAGACAAATGTTTTGTAACTAACAGGAGAAGAAATGGCTCATTAGATATAGCAATACATGGGATTTCCAAGTCCCCATCTGCTCCATTTCTAATTGTTTAACTCTAAATAACTTAAAATATCTAGGCCTCAGTTTCCTCATGTGTAAAACTACGTGTTGGTGTTTTGGGGTGGTTTCATGGATTTTGGTTTAAACTGTTAGTAGCAAATACTGGGACCAGCAAGTGGCATGGTGGTTAAGGTGCTGTACATTCCTGCATGGCCAACCACGGTTCAAGTCCCGGACCTGGTGGCTTCCTTTGTCCCTTTTCCTCCCTCTCTCTCTCTCTCTGTGTGTGTCTCTCTCTCTGGTCAAATTAAAATAAATGAATGAATAAATAAAATTAAATAAATAATAACTAAAAAAACTGTTAGTAGCAAATACTAAACATGCTATAAAATGAGATGATTCAGTGACTAAAATGGCAGAGAAAACCATTTTCAGCATATAAGATCTATTAATAAGTCAAAAGCATGACCATAAATATCTCTGTATTTAAGATTATTTCTAATTTTGCTAAGCCATGACACCTTTCTATTAACTCTACCTAAATATACTTGTGGAGGTTACTTCCTTATAGAGAAATTAAGCTTATTAAATATAGCAAAATAATGCACTTGAAGATTACACTGCAGATTCAGATCGTGTTTATATTCTGATATTGTTGTTATTACCTTCCTTAGGATTAAGTTTTTCTTGTTAGGATTTTCTGTTTAAAATTTTCTTTTTGGGGGGACCAGCAGTTAGCGTAATGGCTATGTCGCTGGACTCCCACGTAGTAGACCACGATTTGAGTCCCGGACCCGGTGGCTTAAACTCATGCCGGGCGTGTGTGCGTGCGTGCCCAAGATCCCGAGAGGAGAATGGAGGAGAAGGGACTGCAGCGTGGCCATCCCCCGTGGGGGGTGATTTCTCGCTTTCTGTCTCCCTGTCTCTTTCTGTCTGGCGAGCGCAGGTGCCCAATAGCACAAACCTCTCAAAAAAATTTTTTTTTTCTTTTTTTTCCAAAAAATGTTAGTACCTTGGTTAGCAAAAATAGTAAACAAATAGTGTTTTTGGATTTTTAGAACTTGAAAACTCCTCCTATCCCCCTTCACCAACTTTAATTGTTAAGAGGTATTTCTGGGGCCAGCAGGTGGTGGCATGGTGGTTAAGGATACTGGTTTTCCACATGGCTGACAGTGATTTGAGTGCTGGACCTGGTGGCATGCTTTCTTACTTTCTCTCTCTCACTCTGTCTCTCTCTGATCAAATTAAAAATAAATAAATAAAGTTGAAATTAAAAATTCCTTTAAAAAAGAATTATTTTTATAAATTGTATTAGACTATTTCTTTTTACTGTTAAGTAGAATATCCAAATTAAAACCTTTTTGTATATAATATCTCAGTCTCTTCTTGAACATCAAAGAGAACTACAACATCGAGACTTTTCTGGCTCAATTTTCCTCATCTTAAAAATAATATCATGGGAACCAGCAGTTAGCGTAATGGCTATGTCGCTGGACTCCCACGTAGTCAACCGCGGTTCGTGTCCCGGACCCGGTGGCTTAAAACTCATGCCGGGCACGTGTGCGTGCGTGCCCAAGATCCCGAGAGGAGAATGGAGGAGAAGGGATTGCGGCGTGACCATCCCCCCTGGGGGGTGATTTCTCGCTTTCTGTCTCTCTGTCTCTCTCTGTCTGTTTGGTGAGCGCACGTGCCCTACAGTGAAAATCTCTCCCCCCCCAAAAATAATAATATCATTGCACTATGTCATTCCAAAACATCTTTCTAGGGCCAGGTGGTGGCACAGAAGTAAAATGCAACACTCTGCCCGGCTGACCCGTGTAGGAAGGTTCTGGGTTCACCTTTGGATACCTCTCTGGAGATGCCATGTGTGTATGAACTTAATCTGGAACTGGCTGAAGTTGGGGAGGATCAAGGCATCATGACCCTGTTAGGGTGCTGTCTGTCTCTCTCTCATGGAATAAACAAACAAACAAAAAAGGCTTTTCTGTCTCCAAATTACTGCTTTAGATGAATCTCTGTCAAGGAAAAAATGTGCCTAGCATTACATCAGGAACTAAAGCAGGGACCCACAGATGGTGAAATGGTTATGTTGCTGGACTCCCACATGGCCGACCCTTTTGAGTCCTGGACCTGGCAGATTGAAACTCACACCAGGTGTGTGTGTGTGCATGCCCAAAATTCCAAGGAGAATAGAGAAGGGATTGCAGTGTGGCCATCCCCCTGATTTCTTGCTTTCTGTCTCTCCAACAAGTGCACGTGCCCTATAGCAATCTTTCAAATAGATAAATAAAAAAATAAAGGTCTCATGTCCTAAATATATAAAGAATTCTAAAAAAAAACGAGGGAACAAGAAAGGAGTATATAATATTGTACCTCACTTTCTTGGAGATCATATCTGTAAACTGACCTCCATGAAATTGACAATACTTGGCTGTTTTTAACCCAATTTCAAAATTCAACCTAATAATTGAGATAAAACTAATATACTAAAAATTGAGAGTATTCTAACTAAAAATGGCAATTTCAAAATTCAACCTAATAGTTGAGATAAGACTAATATACTAAAAATTGAGAGTATTCTAACAATTTAATGGTTGCTGAATTGATACAATGGATTTTATTTTAACATCTTGTCTGTGATTTTGTTCTCATTGATTCTTCTAATTAAAGATTACTTCCTTATTTTTTTTTTTACAGAAAAACACCGATGATTTATTAAAAAAAGCTAATGAATGGATTCATAAACTGGAAATAAAACCATATTTACTATAGCTTTCTCTCAAGAAAGATCATTTAGAACATCATCCTCTATTTTATGAGGCCTTTGAGAATCATCACATCTTAAGGAGCTTTACAGAAATCAAAAATGCTTTTTTTCCCCACTCTCCTTGTTTTACACCTGAAGAAACTGAGGTGGAAGAGTTTAAGTTGCTTTTCTTGGTTACAGCAAACAAGTGGTAGAGTCAGGATAGGAGGGCTGTTCTTTATTCCCTGCCCAGGGTGGCTCAGAATACAGAAAGCTCACTGAACATTCATTCTGTCTGCCATTTGTTTAGCAAATACCGTATTGTCTCCAGCTGCAAGACAATGTTATCATGTTGTAAAGCTTCCCTTTGACCTTTTCAACCTCTGGTTTCGAGAAATGGCAGTTGCTTGAAACTGCTTTGAGAAATCAAAAGGTCTGTCGCTCTCCCTAGCTAAGCCCACGACATACCTTGCAGATGGATGACTTAGCTTTCACTGCAGCGTGTTTATTTTGAGTCAGAATGGTAATTCAGTTTGGCAGTACTGCCAGTTCACACATACTAACTGCTGTCTTGTAGTTTGGTATTATCCAGACTCTACTTGTTTTGAAATGGGACTTATCAGGGTTTTCTGGCAGTTGATACTTTTGTTGACAGAAGGTGCATGGAACCTCATTGCTTCAGTATTTACTCCTGCATATCAAAAATAGTTCTCACCTTACTCAATCTCCCACAAATTGAGTATGAATGATAAGAGTATTATTTCATGCTGCTGTTCCATGAATAAAAGTTGCTAGCTATTAATAGAAAGAATTTGTTATCATGCCCCTCTGAAAATAACCTGTAAGTAGGAAAAAGAATATATCCATCAAGCATTTTTTAACAGCTAATATTTCACTATGTGGAATCAGAGAGTTAACATGGCTGCCGGCAGGCAGAACCGACCTGTTGAAATTTATCTCCTGACTCCTGAGAAATATTTATTACTATGTGTAACCAAATGGAGATATAATATGGAAAATATCTCAAAACTATTGAGATAAATGAAACACATCAAAACAATTATCTTTGAAAAGTAAAGGACAATGAACATAGAAACTCAATAGTTAACTCGATAAAAACTGATTATCAGAGTTACCAATAGAATATATTGAAAACGTTTAATTTAGTGCCTATAGTTTCAGTCTGATTAAACGATAGGTTTATTTTTGCTGGGATAATCTAGTCCAAGTCTGAGTAAAAATACAGACACTTTTAGGTAAACTAAAAATGCACATTGTTAAATACTAAAATTTAAAAAGTAGGTCCTTATGGGGCCAGTAGACAGAGTGATAGTTACGGCATTTGACTCCTACAAGGCTGATTGAGGTTTGAGTCCCGGACTGGGAGGCTGAAAAAACACCAGAAGTGTATGCAAGTGTACCCAAAATTCTGAGAAGAAAATGAGATGGAGAAGAGATTGCAGTGTGGTCATCCCTCACACCCACCCGGAGTGGTGGTTTCTCACCTTCCCCCTCTCTCTGTCTCTAACTATTACACAAATTCTATGGCAAAATCTTTAAAAACAAAAGAAAAAAAAGGGCAAGATTGTTTTGGGAGTTCTTCACTTTCCCTGGGCCCAATGGGAGAGTGCCAGCTTCATCTGCAGCCTATGTTTGATATTAGAAAGAATTTTTCTGGCCTGTGAAGGATGGGTGATTAGGTAGGAACAAACAGACTCTGAGCCTCTGGTTATTACTGGAATGATCACAGCTTCACGTACTTAGGAGGATTCCGGTGTTCTTTCTATATGAAAGCAAATCTGAACCCTTGACTCTTCCCAGGACCATTTATCTACGTATTTCTGAGTGTCTAAATGAAAAGAGAAAACAACAAAAAAATACACTCTGGATCCTGCTAGAATTAAAGGGAAAAACGATATGCC